CAAAACCAGGGAGTACTTAATAAAAATATGAACAAGAACAAAATAAACCAATAATCCAGCCCTTCCCACAAGCACATTTAAAAGGACATACTGTTAATCAGCCAAAAGCCTGGTTCAAGAGGAACATTTTCACCTGCCACTTAAAGATGTACAATGAAGGTGCCAGACGAACCTCCCTGGAGAGACCATTCCACAGATGGGGAGCTACTGCAGGAAAAAGGCCCATTCTAATGTTGCCACCCTCCAAAACTCTCATGGAGAAGGCACACGAAGAAGGGTCATTTATATTGCACTGCATATATATGCCCAAATTGTATTTCTCCATTCAATATTTGAATATTAAATTTCAAAATTTTAAAGTGAGAATGTACCTCGGAATTTGGAATTTGTGTGTTTTGGACAAAGAGAGAGATGATTTTTTGGCAAGCATGAAAAATGAAACCTTACAACTGTCAAATGGTAAGGATGATTGCACGGTATCTAAGAAATGCTACTACCTGCCAAATGTCACATACTCTCAAATTCAAATACCATTGGATGGCAAGCATTTAATATGTTCAAATATGAAATATCATTGCACACCAACTGTAAAATACTGTTAAATATCAAACATCAAGAGCAAATGCCATGGGATAAGAAAAAACAGACATCAACTATCTGATGAAAGTTCACCAAATATTCATGTGTTCGGAGTCAGAGAGTATCTGGAGAATGCTCAGCAGCAAAATTCAGTGAGGGAAATTTTGGGGAACAAATTTATTTTAGCTCTAGACAGTTCTGATCACCCACTGATACAGTGGGAGGGAATAAGTCATGTGTGCTTCTTTCTTCTTTGGCGATCACTCCTAGCCAAATAAGATTGTTTTCCGTAAACACGGTTTTAGCAATGAGTTCATAAGTGACTGTGGAGGCCAATTCTGCATCCACATGTCCTTCCACAGTGTGGAAAAAGGTTTCTGGGTGGGAGTTGATCATGGTGTGGATTTGCCAAGCGTGCCTTCCTCTTAGCACGCTGTTCCCTTTCGTCCTGAGTTTGAGCGTCTTCAAAATCCATGAAACCTTTGGTAAAGGCTGTTCTCCAACTGGAGTGCTTGCAAGCCAGTGTTTTCCATTTGTCGGTGTTTATACTACTTTTTTATATTTAGAATAAGCACAGTAGCAACTATCCTGGTGGAAGACTTCTGCTTCCACCATGATAGTTGCTGTTCCCCAGGAGGTAGAGGGGAGGGGCAAGGCAGCAGTGGTGAGGTTGGCATGGTGCAAATACACCAGCAGTATTGCTGGATTGGCTCTGCTGGTGCCCTCACACCATGCCAACCCTCTCCCCATCTACCTCCTAGTAAGCAGCAGCAATGAGCACTCACACTTTACATTGTGGATGCCCTTTGCGGGATCGCACACGGTGCTAGAGTTCCCAGGGAACTTACTGGCAAACAGGGACTGGCCTGCCTCTCAGTGTTAGTTTTTGGAGGTTCACGCCCAGCCTCAGTAGTCTAGTTTCATTGCTGGGAGGTGGGGCCAGTCCCATATATATAAGGGGGTGGAGCCAACAGTATCCAGGCAGTTGGTTTAGGAGATTCACCCTCCCTACCCTCCCTTAGTTTAATGTTTCTTGTTTGCAGGTTAACTTTTTCTTCCTGTTTAGCGGGCGCTGCTATGGTCTTTGACTGGTCGCTGTTGAAAGACTGGGAAGAAAATTTCCTGCATTGGGAGGTTTTGTCTTCCCCGTAGCAATTCGTCACAACTTTGGCGGTTTATGGCCTTGGGTGGA